AGTTGGGCAAATAAATGGTAGATGGGTATTTATTATAATAAATGCAAAATAATGCATGTGGGTTATCATAATTTGAATTATGAGTATAATTTAAATGGGAATAACCTTAACAGTGTTATGAAAAAAAAAAGATATCTTGGTGTAATAGTCAATCAGTCTCTGAAGCCATCCAAGCAGTGTGTTATTGCTAGTGGTAGGGCAAATATGATTTTAGGTTGTATCTACTGAAATACTGAATATAACTCTAAAGAGTTTATAATTTCATTGTATAAGTCACTTGTTAGGCCACATTTGGAATATTGTGTTCAGTCTTGGACTCCTTACTTTAGGAAAGACATTGAATTGTTGGAAAGGGTTCAGAGAAGGGTTACTAGAAAGGAAGGGTTGTCATACGAGAAGAGGCTGAAATCTCTCAAATGGTTTTCTCTTGAAAAAAGAAGAGTTAGGGAGGGGGATCTGATTGAGATGTTTAAGATTGTAAAGTGATACGTGTTGATGCATCATCTTATTTCATATTTAACAGTGAAAATAGTAGGACTAGGGGACAAAAAATGTTTTGGCAAGGTAGGGATCATCATCAGCTAAGATAGTTTCATTTTTCTAACAGGGTGGTTGGCCTTTGGATGTTGTAGAGGCAGTAAATTTAAGCAAGTTTAAGAAAAATCTTGATAAGTATATGAATAACAAGGGCTGGCTTTAAGATTTTGTTTTTAATTATTTTAATTTAGTTTAGAGGATGGAACAGCCAAAATGGACCAATAGGTTCCATGTTATCCCAAAATGTTATGTTAACTAATTCAATGCAAACTGTCATTAATATAAATCAGAGGAAAAAAAAAAGAATGGGATAGTTATCCTCACTCCCCATGCAAATAAACTATACTAGAGAAAGAAAGTCAACATTTTGTATTCAAGTATTTTATTAATTTTCAATCACTTAACTTAACAATAACATTAATAGGCATATCACACATTTTCAAACAGAATGAATGAACTTGTTGAATAGTGAATTTCAAGCATTTTGTTCAGTATTAAAGTAAGTGTATCATAGTCTATCACTTGGACCAGTATTTTTCTGAGGTTGTGCACTTCCCCTCCCCCATATGTTCAATACAGCCTATGATGACAATGATACTTAGCTTTAAAAAACAAAACAGGAATGACAAAACATTTACCAGTCCTCCCCAAAAAAGGGGTGCCTCACAGTGTGAGAACCACTGACATTTAGACATTGAGGTCTGACAATTTGATTTTTACCTACCTCAAGTCAAATTGCTAACAGTCTTAGTGTTAAGACAGATGCATAAGTGCAAATCACAGCTCAACACTGAAAGGTGTTAAGCTTACGTTATACTAGTTATAGTCATTCTTAACCCCAAAAACAATACAGAATCTTATTCCACACAATTGACTGTAACTTAACTAAGTTGAATGTAGATGACAGTCAGATTTGATTGTTGTATTAGACTTTACCTTTAATTAAACTTAAGTTTAAGAAGACTAGTTGCTGTTTTTTTACACCAAACTTTATGAACACTAAAGTAACTTAGTAAGGAATCACTAGTACCATTTCAATTCTTTGGGCTTATGTCTTCACAGCGTGAAGACATAAGCCCAAAATGGCAGTGTTTCGAATAAATGACTATTCCATGTAACAAGCTAATAAATCCCACATTTTTGTTCCATGTTTTTCCAAAGTTGTTGCAGCACATCACAAATTGTCTAAGCCTATATAAATTTACTATAGTTACATACTTGAAAAAATATCACATATCCTGGGCTCGAATTACCGGGCGAATGGGTCTGGTAGTTGTACTGGTAGTGATATTCAGTTTGAGCCCTACAGGTACCTACTATTTACAACTGATAAAAAATTTATAGTTATATTGAAATTTGAATACTTCGGCTTATAATATAATTAAAAGTTATAAAAAAGATTAAGTCTGTCACTGCCAGGTTTTATTACAAAGATTAAAAATACAAATTTTGATAAAACAGTAAGTCTCGCTTTTTTTTTGTCGAATATCATGAATATCAACCTAATAGTAATATAAAGAGTAATCGTACGACTTATAAGTATTTAATTGCGAATAAACTGTCAAAAATTGAAATATACGTACTGTGACGACAGCAGAAGTCACACGACGCTGAGAGCATGCGCAATGGAGTTTCTAGAAGGATCGGATCACCTCACGAATGTCCCAGCGTTTGTTAGACCCCCTCTTTTTTAGTATATAAGCCAGAGATTAATTGAAGAGAAATAAATTGAGTCAAGCGAACAGTAGGCGCCATAAGTAAAATGTGTGAATCGCTGTGAATTATAGCATGCGTTTATAAAAGTAGTTAAGTTTAAAGTGGCTGTGGAAATTAGATGTATTACAAAGTTTGTAACCAGAAAGAATAAACTAGTTTTAATTAAGAAAGTGCTTGTATCATTTAACTTTCTCGGAAAGAATTTCTAAGGGAAATTAACAAACCAGCAGATATCTAACAAATTGGTGTCAGGGAGTGGGATAAAAGAAGAAGGAAAAAAAAGATGATGAAAACCAGAAGTGGCAAATCAAACTACAGCTTAGTGGATTTTATGGCAGAAATACCAGAACACCAACAAAAAAAAGAAGAACAAGAACAAGAAAAGAGACAACAGCAGTTGCAGGAAAACATGCAACAGTGGCAGCTCGAACAGCAAAATAAACAAGAAGAGAGATTACAGCAGTTGTTGGAGGAAAAAGAAAATAAACAAGAAAAAAGAATATAAACAAAAAAAGAGACTACATCAGTGGTTGGAGGAGAAAGAAAATAAACAAGAAGAGAGACTACAGCTGTGGTTGGAGGAGAAAGAAAATAAACAAGAAGAGAGACCACAGCAGTGGCAGAAAAACCAGCACCAGTGGCAACTGGAACAAGAAATGAAACAAGAGGAACAAGAAGAGAAACAGGAAGAAAGACTCCAACAGCTGAGAGAAAGCCAGCACACACAAATGGGAAAAATTAGTAAATTTCAAAGTGACTAAATACATTAAAGGACGATTTACTGTCTTTTACACAAGGAGGTTATATTAGCCATGGACCTAGTCAGCCTCAGACAACGAGAAGCCCCTTCTAGACACCACAGCTAAACTGTAATGCAGACATATTCAGTCCTGTCAGAAGTCACATTCCAAACTCGAGTGTCAGCAATAGAGGTGATCTAATACAAAGGAAGCCATAGGAATACGATGGGAAAGCACCATGGGAAGCATACAGAGCACAGTTTGAGCTCCTGGCAGAAATGAATGGATGGACAGAGGAACACAAGGCAGTGCACCTGGCAACGAGCTTGAAGGGACAACCACTGGAAATACTTGGACAGTTGACAGCAGCCGACATACACAACTATAGAGCACTGGTAGAGGCTCTGGAACTCAGATATGGAAACGAGAATCAATCAGAAGTCTACAGGGCCAGGTTTAGGACGAGAGTGCGTGCTAAAGGGGAGAGCCTGCAAGAGCTGGCACAGGACTTGGAAAACATGGCACACAAGGCCTACCCAACTGCACCACCCGATCTCCTCAAGTTGTTGCTGAGGGATCAGTTCGTAGATGCCTTGGACAGTCCACAACTTAAGATACAAGTGAAGCAAGCACACCCCTCGGCCATGCAGGATGCAATGGCCAGAGCTCTCGAATTTGAATCCTACGTTAAGTCCAGCACAGATGTACCAAGGTGGTACAGTCATCTGGATTCAAGGCCAGAAAAGGTCAGCTTTCAGAGAAGTTTGAGGGACTTTGCTGGCACTGTAACAAACCTGGGCACAAGAGAGCTCAATGTTAGAAACTTCAGCACAGGGGAGATGATACAGCAGGAAAGGCTGTTGGAACTGTGGGGAGCAAGGACATCTGAGGAGCCAGTGTAAGAAAAATACCACCAATAAGTCAGCTTCGGGAAACCAGTAGTAGTGCTAAGGGACGCCCACCAACCCCAGTCGTGAAAGTCCCAACAGCTAAGTGTAAAATGGCAAGCACACATAGTGTCTACGTGACAAGGAAGCTGGATGGCCAAAGGTGCAACTTTGTCATAGATTCTGCATCTCAGCAAACCCTTGTGAGTATCAAATTGCTGGATCACAAAGGATTACCAGAAGCTGTACAGAAGCTCTATGGTGTGACAGGACATTCTGCAAGTTTGTGGGGAACAGTGTGGGTAACTATCGAGCTCATGGACAGAAAGTATACTTGGCTGACAATGAAGACCAATGCATATTAGGATTGGACTATCTA